CCCCAAGGTCCTCCTCGTGTCCCCATGGGTCATGTTCTCACCTTCTCCCTGCTGACCCCATGGCCACCTACATCCCGTTGACCTAGGTGTCCTCCATGTGTCCTTGTTGTCCCCATGTCCTCGTTGACCCCATGTCCTCATGGTCCCCAAGGTCCTCCCCGTGTCCCCATGGGTCACGTCCTCACCTTCTCCTTGCTCACCCCATGGCCACCTATGTCCTGTTGACCTTGGTGTCCTCCATGTGTTCTCGTTGACCCCATGTCCTCATGGTCCCCGTGTCTTTATTGTCCCCAAGGTCCTCCTCGTGTCCCCATGGGTCACGTCCTCACCTTCTCCATGCTGACCCCATCGCCACCTACGTCCCGTTGACCTTGGTGTCCTCCCCGTGTCCTCATTGTCCCCATGTCCTCGTTGACTCCATGTTCTTGTTGTCCCCAAGGTCCTCTTTGTGTCCCCATGGGTCACGTCCTCACCTTCTCCATGCTGACCCCATGGCCACCTACGTCCTGTTGACCTTGGTGTCCTCCATGTGTCCTCGTTGTCCACGTGTCCTCATTGTCCCTGTGTCTTTATTGTCCCCAAGGTCCTCCTCATGTCCCCATGGGTCACGTCCTCACCTTCTCCATGCTCACCCCAGTCCACCCGCGCCCCACGGACCCCGCTGTCCTCCCCGCGTCCCCCGTGTCACCTCGGCCACCCCGGCCTCGTTGTCCCCCCCGTGACGCCGTCCCCGTCCCCAGGTCATCAAGCAGCTGATGAAGAAGGAGTTCACCCTGGAGTTCTCCCGCGACCGCAAGTCCATGTCCGTCTACTGCTCCCCGGCCAAGGCCTCCCGCGCCGCCGTGGGCAACAAGATGTTCGTCAAGGTGGGCCCCGTCACCACGTCCCACCACCACGTCCCACCACCACGTCCCACCACCACGTCCCATCACCACGTCCTGACGTTCCACCACCGCGTCCCACCACCACGTCCCATCACCGCATCCTGATGTCCCACCACCACATCCCATTCCCATGTCCCATCACCACGTCCCATCACTGTGTCCCCACGTCCCACCACCGCGTCCCACCACCACATCCCGATGTCCCACCACCACGTCCCATCACCACGTCCTGACGTCCCATCCCCACGTCCCACCACCACGTCCCACCACCGCGTCCTGATGTCCCACCACCACGTCCCAATGTCCCATCCCCACGTCCCATCCCCACGTCCCATCACCGTGTCCCATCAACACGTTGCCAACGTCCTATCACCACCTCACCTTGTCCCCATGTCCCATCCCCCCATCCCACCACCACGTCCCATCCCCACGTCCCAATGTCCCATCCCCACGTCCCCATCCCCACGTCCCACCACCACGTCCCATCCCCACGTCCCATCCCCACATCCCATCACCACGTCCCACCACCACGTCCCACCACCGCCTCCTGATGTCCCACCACCACGTCCCACCACCACGTCCCACCACCCCCTCCCCATGTCCCACCACCACGTCCCACCCCCC